AGCAGTTTTTCTAAACTCACTATCGTCAGAGAATATTTGTGCGGTCTTATTGAAGGCAAAGTTCGCACGAAACGGCGATGATGTGGTACCAAATGCATGATTTGTCATTTGAAACTCAGATGGTTCACTCGACATGTCCCCTTCCTGCCACCACAGAAATCTTGAAGCTCCTCGACCAGACTCAGGGAACTTCACTTCCATGAACATTTCCTCAATATCTGCAGGGATTGCAACTGTCTCCTCGCGAAAACTTAATAATATGCACATTAACTCAGCAGTGGTATCGGGTTCTTGATAAATCATATCATTCATGGAAACCCCTGCAAACTCGGCGGCACAATCAAGGACCACTCTAAGTTCTTCTGGTTTCTTCATGTTTAACACTGCATGATGAGATGAATACCCTCGAGGGCGATAATTAGGCTGCAAATATATTTCAAGGACCCTCTCCGCATAAGTCTTAGTAAATTTACTCTCAATACTGTTGATATACCTGATGTGCAGACTGACATCCTTCGACAATATACCCTTCAAACTTTGTAATCTACGGTTCGCTACTTCATAATTATCCACTTTCATATTTGGATTCTTTTTCCATGGTATAGGGACTACAAAATGACCATTTTCGAAGCGTGTGCCCCCTTCTACAATACTTATAGCTGCCTTATCTTCTATTGATACTGATTTATCATTTGAATAAACATCAGAAAACTCTACATCATAAAGTTTACGTATTTCGTTCTCCAAAGCCTGTATCTTACTGGTATGATTGACAACTCTTTTCCTGTATTCCGGATATGACGCAGGTCCGAAGACCGTCCACCCCAACAACGTCTTCACAGCGTATGGGCTTTTTCTTCCACCCAACCGCTGGTCTAACACCCAGTGTGCTTCTGGTACATCGCAACCAATCAACAGCAGAACTTCTTCAGAGTCTAGGTTGCCTATTGGTACATCCCTTAAATGTGGCCATTTAACTAAGTTGTTCACTGCCGACCTTGTCGGCTTATGACCTGGTATATCTGCGACAATCAGAGCCCCTTCGATCGCAACATGTTCAGACCGATCTAGAGAATACACCTCAAAAGGAGTCCTTGTGACCGTCATTGTCCTATTACCACTCACAGTCTCTACTACCACTGACGCTCGGTCTTCCTTCAACCCGAGATACCTCAAACAGCTCGATTTTATCAACGTTACATCAGACCCGTTATCCAACAAAGGATAACCCACCATTTCGGCATTTCCCAACATCAAACGTACAGGAATCATTCCTAAGCACACTTGGTTACTTAGGGATTTAGTAAATCCACAACAATTCGGGATACCAGGTTTATCATTTTCGCTGTGCAGCAAAGAATGGTGTTTCTTCCCACAACTATTAACGTTACAACGTTTTGCCAGCTTACATTCATTAACTTTATGCCCTTGCCTAAGGCAGACAAAACAGATGCCATTAACCTTTGCGTGAGACCATCTCTCTTGAACGGTAAGCGCTAAAAATTTTGGACATTTATAAATAGCATGGTCCAGAGAACACACACTGCATTTAGCTTTCTCTTTCGAATTATTCTCCTGCTCCAATTGCAAGTGACAATTTGTCTTTAAATTGTGTCCTTTTCTCGGACGATTCGCTAACCGTCCAAACCTACTATTAGCTACTCTCGCGCGGGATGCTATAAATTGAGTAAGCTCGTCAAGGGTTGGTTCTCTATTATCTTCAGTCAATTCATCCACCCAGTCCGCCCACTGGGCTTGCATAACTTGAGGTGAGAGTCCTACTATTCTCTCTAAGGTAATTAGAGAATTTAAGTCGGCAGTATACTTCATCTGTTTCAAAACCATAGAACAATTTTCCATCCTAATAGCTAGATTTGTTAGTTGCTCAGGATCACTGTAATCAACATTTGTAGTTTTGAATAAGTCCTCTAAAGTTTCCCGAGCGATTACATGCGCCTGTCCGAACAACCGTTTTAGAATTTCTTTGGCCTTCTTGTAACCAAAAGAGGCTTCCAACATAACACAACCCTCAATGGCTGTTTTCGCTTTACCCTTACAATAATGTATCAAATAAAGCAAGCGTTGACCATCATCCTTGACCCTTGATTCCACATAGGTCTCAAACTCCCTTAAAAACTTCCAGTAACCTCTTGGTTGACCGTCGAAATAACTTAACTCAACCTTTGGTAACTCTGGACCTATGAAAAACGCCGTAGGCCTTACGCTTTTTGCTTGCTTCACGTCTAAACTAAGGTTTTCTATGCCATCTGCCATTATATCACAACTAGATTCACTATGATTACAATCGTCCCTATTAGAATATGAACCATGACACATAGACGCATCAGAAGGCACTTGCCTTGATTGAGGGGATAGATCCTTTTGTTCATCTCTTTTAACATCCACGAGACTTGGACTTAATTTCCTTCGACGATTGTTTGGCATCGCAAGCGAACGACCAAATATTCCCAGAGACGATGATTGGAATCAACGAAACGAAAGCCAAGCGAATTCGACCAAAATATTTGTTTAGAACTGTAAGATCCAAACTACGTTTGGACTGCTGGACAGCTGTCTGGATGAGTTAGATACGCGCCCTCACCCGATTGAAACCAAAACAAAGTAATTGGGTAAGATAGCGGTTCTATAATTTATCATAAATTTAAGTGTACATTATTACCTAAACAAATATAACCACTCAGCTATCCAACCAATAATTGTTCAATTGATCAAATCTAAACTACAATAAATAAGGAAGTTGATAAAGGATGCAAGAAAATTACCAATCACCACAAATAAATGTTATTCTATCCTGTCTGGATAGATCACGTACAGATTCGTTCAGAAGGTAATAATTGGTCGCTCTATAACACAGAGTGTTTTCAATTCTGGAAGAGTGCTTCAATTCACAACCAAAATGCACAATTCCAGTCAACACAGGTCGAGCAATCAAAAGCAGGAACAAACCAAAATGGCTGCCGCCCAGACTTAGTATAAAGTAAAACAACAAGTGCAGTTCGGGAAGAAACATGGGGAATTAGTGAAGGTGTAGTAAAAACGAAAACTATAATAAAATACAGATATTAATAATTCAAATGTAGCCAAAAAGTTAACAATGTACAACTAAGAGGATCAATAGGAACAAAGTTCAAGTATATACATGGAGGGATTTTCACAAACACACAAGCATTCAAAATGGATCTTACAATAACAACTATAATAACAAATATGAACATAAGCGGACTTGGGATATTTAAATGAAAAGAAAGAAAACGAAGTTTCGAATGCTCTACTTTGTTCTGCAGACAGTTAGATAAATACTAGAACTTGTTTGCATGGGTCATTGTTAATCACACGGGTAATTAATTCGTGACACAGGTCACCTTCAGAAAAAGGATTCAGGCTATTTGTAAGTCTTTCCAGTGTTTGCATGAAGAAATGTTTAGATTAGTATACACAAATTTTCAGAGACCTCATTTAGAATATGGGATTAAAGGTCATTATTGTATAACCAACCTGCTGACTGCGGTGGACAGATGGACAAGCATCCTTGATCACAAGGGGAAGGTTGATATCATTTACCTTGGTTTCTCAAAAGCTTTTGATAAGGTTAACCATACATGTCTTATCAATAAGCTCAAACGATTAGGTGTCAGACCACCTCTAATCGATTGGCTCACTTCATATCTGAAAAATCGACATTTTAAGGTCAGGATTAATTTCATTTTATCTCAGGCTACGGAATGTTCTAGTGGAGCCCCCCAGGGCTCAGTACTAGGACCTCTTCTCTTCTTGATCTACATAAATGATCTTCCTCAACAGGTAACGTTAGACTTATTTTGCCGACAACGTGAAACTTTGGAGAGAGACACGGAACCAAGACGGTATACGGGCACTTCAGGAGGATCTGACTCGACTTCAAAATTGGGTAGACGATAACGGACTTACCTTTAACACTTTAAACTGTAAAGTAGTTCACCTGCGACATGTCGCAGACTATAGTTATAACTTAGAAAACTCCTCTCTAGTAGTATCCCAAGTTGAAAAATATTTAGGAGTCCTGGTGCCCTACGATTTAAAGTCTTATGCTAACTGTGACAAAAATACCTTCCGAGCAAACTTTGCACTGGTAACATTGAAGCGCATTTTTGGCCAGTTTGACGGAAGAACTTTCGATATAATCTTCAATAGTTTTATCCGTCCCTATTTGGAGTACGGAAACATAGTATTTCCCCCTCACTACAGAAGGATAAGGATACTCTGGAGGGTATCCAGCGGCGAGCCACGAAATCAGTTCGAGGACTCAATTTTAAACCTTACGAAGAGCGCCTCCATTCACTTAACCTTTAGCCATTAGAGTATGGGCGTCTTAGTGGTGACCTGATAGCTTACAGTGTCCTTAACAGTTCTGGGCATCCTCTTAAACACCTACTTAAGCTTAGTCCCATTACCAGTCTAAGGGGCAACGCCCAGAAATTGGAGACACAACGTAGCAGAACGGACTGTAGACACAACTTCTACTCCTTAAGAGTTATCAAATGCTGGAATTCGCTGCCGGCCGAGCTAGTCCAAGCGACTTCTCAGGAGTCCTTTATGAGGCAACTTGATCTATTTTTAAGGTCTAAAGTTAGTGTCATACTATGATTTACCAATTTCTTTTTCCTCTTTTATCATTAATGTACCTAGGCTCCTGCCTGGTGGATTTGGTGAGCCCCTGCTACTAGACATGGATGTCCGTGATGATGTCGCAGGTATTTGGTGTTTGACAACGCTTTTATCAGTAACACCTTCTAATATAATTCGTTACCACCCAGAGAAATCAAAAGACAGAGTCGAGGAGATCGGAAGAGTGTATTTGGCGATTACCAATATATCGGAATTCTCTGATCTAATCTGGCTAGCAATTGCGGTAGATGTTGAGAACGGCGTTACCACACGTGATCTGGTGCGGATGCATGACCGAGCGCCTTCAGCTAGATGAGTCCACTAAAACATATAGTCAGCATCCAATGTCGAAAACTTAGAGCTATTTATTTTGGGGATTTATTTACCGCTACACCCGTTAAGCGAAAGCTTCTTCTATTCCGTCCACAACCATTTGAACCATCTGAACAGTTTAAGAACAATTTCAAAAAACTCGCAACAGGCGCCGATAATCACTGGGTTAATTTCCTCTTCGTTGGCCGTAAGTTGACATTCAAGGTATTAAAGGTAATTCTACTGCTAGAATATGTCTGTTTATAACACCTGTTTCTTATCTACTTTATACAACTGGAGGAAAGGTATATTGTACTCACAGATGACAAATTTGGTTGGAATTAGACGTCAGTTTGCGGTCCAAGATCTATGCACTACTTACTAGTCACAGGCTCCTGTTAGAAATCTACGAATTTCTAGCGTTAGAGCTAGTCATATTGGTCTGCTTTGTTCCCTTTGAACAATTTGGCTGTAAATGTTGTAACAGTAACCGTTATGTACCCAATCTCCTTATTTTGGGGGAAGTAAGGTGATGTATATTCAGTGATTTTTGTAAAGACAAAATAAAAACCGCATTTTCTATGGTACCAACATATGTGGTCGTCATTTTTATCTCCTTGTGAGGTGTCTCGATTCTTACTCCCCCGAGAAGAAAGAGACATTATTGAAAAACGCACTAAAAACTCGTGACTCAAATATCCGTATTCGACCAGATTGGTCGCTTGAGGATCGAATCAAGTGGAAGAATGCTCTTACGGAGTTGAGGACTCACAAATTAAATGGCGAAAATAACCTTACCATTAAGGGTTTTCGGGTAGTCAGGTCGATACACTAGGTTAATAATAATATACCAAGAGAGTTAACAGTAAATACTCTAGGTGTCTGTCTGCGAGTAAAACCAAGGGTATTTACTGTTAACGCTCTTGGTATATTATTATTAACCTGGTGTATCGATATATCTTGTATAAGCTCCTTTTGCTGGGAACCACCACAAATCTGGTGGGCTCGTAAATTTTTTTTCTCGAAACTAATTTTGAGTTCACTCACATAAATTACGGCGTTACTTTCCTCTTGGTTGTAATCGTTTTTTGTATATTTGTAATGTACCCTTCCGAAACTGAAGGCACGAGCCAGGATAGCATTTCAACAGAGCTACACGCTCTAAACTTGATAAATGTGCCTCCATCCAGTCGATTAAAACCTCGCATTTGGTTTGCACAAGTGGAAGTACAGTTTCAACGTCGTAACATACCCTCACAGACATCAAAATACTCTTTCGTGCTTGGACTACTGCCTACTGAAGTAGCATCTGAGGTATCGGATTTGATAGATAACATTCCTGCATCTAATCCATATGATCAGTTGAAGCAGGCCATTATCCAACGTACCTCACTATCAGATGAAAAGAGATTGCAACAATTACTGCACGAGTGTGAGTTAGGCGACAAGTCACCTTCCCAATTATTACGCCACATGAGACAATTAACTGGACCTTATAAAGTTGATGATGTTTTTCTCAAGGAAATTTGGCTACAACGTTTGCCAATAGTAGTTAGGCAAATCCTTTGTGCTTCTCGGGGGAGCAAGGATTGAGACTTTTCAAAAGGAAATAAAAAATGACGACCACATATGTTGGTACTATAGAAAATGCGGTTTTTATTTTGTCTATACAAAAATCACTGAATATACGTCACGCAATAGAAAATTCTGGGGAAAAGGCACAAAAGCATCAAAATAGGGAGATTAGGTATGCATGGTATTGTTCAATCATTTCTTGATTACCAAATACGCATTAAGATGTTTTAAAGACTCAGGAAATGTTATCAAAACTTCATTTCCTATCCATCTATATTTACCGACGGGTTGTCAGTCAGTCAGTCAGCTACAACGTAGGACCAGGCACATATGTGCATCGGTCCAGGTTGCCATACCGCATCAGCACGAGATGAACACCTGATTCATAGCAGTGGTTAGGTCAAAGGTGGTAATATATAAGAGAAAGATTGCATATGGAGATGTAGTACAAGAAGAAAGAATTGGTTCGTAGAAAGAAAGATATGAAGTTATTTTAATCTCTTAGTTTAAGGGAAGACAGGGAGTGTATACACCGACGCCATTGTGATCGACTCTGAGCCATGTCAACAAGAGTCTCCAACCATCGGTTGCGAAAGTCACGCGGACCCCAACCAAGTAGTCTGCATCTACCAACGTGGCTCAGACTAGAAGTTAGTGTCTTCAAGCACTGATGCCACGTTTTGGTTTGGCCGCCCTAACTTTCTTCCAACAATCTCCAATACCGGATAGCATTGCACGTCGTGGTAGTCGGTGTTCAGACATACGTAACACGTGGCCCAACCATCTCAGTCGATGAAGATTCATAACCTCATCAACTGATTTACCATCATTCCCTAATACCCTGCGTCTAACCTCACTATTACTTACCCGGTGATCCCAGCAGATACCAGCAATATTTCTAAGGCATCTGTGGTCAAATACTAATAGCTTACGAGTGTCTTATACTCTTAAAGGCCATGTTTCGCTGCCGTAAAGTAAGACAGAACGGACTGCCGCGCAGTATACTCGTCCTTTTATTGATAGACGGATATCTCGCCTTCGCCAAAGGTGACGTAAGTTGGCAAAAGCCAAATGAGCTTTTCGAATCCGTGCTGAGATTTCGTCCGATACCAGCCCATTAGGGCTGATCAGACTTCCAAGATAAGTGAAGTTGCCAACGCGTTCGACTACTTCACTCCCTATCCTTAGTTCAGGTGTTGACGCAGACCAGTCCTGAAGCAACAACTTGCATTTCGAGGGAGAGAAGCGCATTCCAAACATTCTGGCATTGTTACCGACGGATTGTTGGCAGAAACAATACATGTCATCGTTTCTGCGACTGCCTACCCAACCTCCCGATTTTAGAGAAGGTGCATTAGAAAGTCTTGGAGAAATATAGCAAAAACTACGAAGTTCCTACTGGTGTAAAGTTTTCCCTCAAAATTCCAAGTTATATTGGAGTTTTGGGTTTTTCACAATATCTCCTCAGACTGGCGGGAACTACGAGTTCTTATATGACTTTGGGGAGGAACCTAAAATTTCCCATACTTTCCCCGAAATTCGGAGATCGGACTGACATCGCACCATCTAGCGACAAACGGGTGGACGTGATTTCTAAGGTCCTTCTAGTCTTTAAGAAACTGTCAGGACCGACTGTTCGCTTGTAGATTTTTTACTACTGTTTCTTAGACAAACTGTGGACTCTACCAGATGGAAATCCCTTTCACGACTCTAAGTATTTTTCAGTTTTTATGTACTCATTTAACGTTATCATCCTTAAAATAAATTAGAAAAAGCCCTTTCATTCAAAATTAGTTTTTTATTTATGTGGAACGGGTATACTTGTACTTAATTGAAGGCATAATCGTACAAATGTCGTTGGTGGCGCTGTAGCTTTATTACATCAGTAGTTTACAGTCAGACAGTGTAACGCCAGCGAAACCGGACGAAGATGCCACAGGGTCCCCAGATAAACGCCCATAAAACAAACCCTCTGGAGCGACAGATAGAGAGCGAATTCGTAGTATTTCACTAAAGTCTTGAATACGGATCTTGGTCTCGGGTTGTCAGACCTGCATAAGTGTGCGGACGTTGAAGGCAGCCAGTTTGAATGGTGCACGTGGTTTGAGAAAAACTGCTTCAGTGTTCGTATTTGGTGGTAGCATACAATTTTCAACCGGACAGTGACTCGAAAACGTTTAGATAAAACCGAGTCTCCACCATAGGCGAGCTGCTGTATAAATCGAAAAATAAGGATACATAAAGTGGGAATAAAAGAGAGTGAATAAGTGACGTAGTAAATAATAATAATAATATGAATTGTTTGACTGTAAATCGAAGCGAGAATAGAGTTTTCAGTACATACCATCATTTTCATTATATTTGTGTGTGGGCTGTGATAATGACCGGGTGCCCAGACCGAAGCAGGTGGTTTTTATAGTTAGCCACACCACGAGCCTTTGACCTAAAGGTCTAACCCACAAGGCAGTGGAGCAACGTAAGGAGATGCAGTCCCATGGTAGCCGGTGACCGACGATTGGTTCATACGCCATTTGTCCCCTCAGGATACTGGAGCCCATGTGCACCATTGGTTTGAAATCCGGGTAAAGCGCCGGACATTCGCTTTTCGTCCTCTCATTTTCGTAAACAACACCCCCGCCACTAGAAGGTAGTGAGTAGGACTTCCCTGGCAGAGGCTGTATACGCGTGGCCGTGTGAGAGTTTTTCGAGCGGGAGGGCGAGCCCGCCCTACTCTCGGTCATAACCAGGGCATTTGGTAGCTTTCATGCTTAAGATCGATACTTGTTGAAATGGTTGCTGGCCGTGCAGTCAGTCAGTCCGTAAAAACGTAGAACTTCGTACGTATGTACATCAGTTCGAGTTGCCACACCACATTAGCACAGAGATGCAGTGGTCGATTCAAATTCCGTAGTGGTAGAGGTAATAAGAGCATAAACAGTAATCGGGAAGATTAATGTTTGGAGATGTTTTTGAGAAGAGAAATAAGATCAAAATTTGGGAGAACACAAAGAGTGTATGCACCTGCGCCATTGCAAACGATTTTGAGCCATGTCATTCAGGGTCTCTAACCATCGGTTGCTATCGTCTCCTGGCCGGGCAAAAACCTTGCTGTTAAAACTACAGTTTCTAATCCTTCTGAACTCCGGTCAGTAACACTTATCCATATCCTTAGGAAAACAACGAGATGTATTTTAAATCTGATTTCATCGAAAAATAAACTATCGTTCTAAATTCGGTGATATCATCTGCCCGAATGTCTTAATTGATTAGATAATTGTTGGGATATTCAGAAAAATATCCCAAAAATTATTCTGTTAAGTCTAACGCTATCCTTGGACTTGGGATGGTGTCATTTCCTCATTGGTCAATATTCATTTAACTTGTCATTTTCTTACTGGTCAATATTGTACAATGTTATTTCCTATTTTATGGTACGATGTGGTTTGTTTGACTGGTATATAAACAAAGTATGTTTGACATATAACGATTCATATCTCAGAGGCTAAGACTTGCGTTCTGGATTCAACTGGCTGGGCTAGACAGCGAAGCAGGGCCAATCGAGACTCTAGGTCGTTCGTACGTGTTTTACGTGTCATTGATCCGATCGATAATACGCTGCTCCATAATCTGCAGTCACACACGCGTTACAACAATAATGTAGGCAACAAAGAAGTACAAATTCGTTTACTTGGTTTGACTGTACTTTTCCTGTCTCAGCCATAAAAATCGAGTACTAGGTGCAAATGTACTAACCCAGTTTGTCACATTTAATATGAACATTGTAAAAGGAAGTTATGATGCAAAACAAAAAAGCAGCTTTACTCGTAGTAGCGATAAGTATAAAATTTAAGTACAAATAATCCACTTTATTTAGCGAGTATCTTACGCCTAACCTCAGCATACAATAACACTGCCCTGCCTTATCGCAATCGACATTGGAACATATCCCCCTTTCAGATACTAAATGAGGTACTATTTATTGCATACTAGTATTCGTCAGTTATTTGCTACGTAATATTGTCGAAATTCGAGCTTTTTTTATCTAGCTAACTATTGTTTTTTTTACTGAACACCAAGTAAACAATGTCCATTTTTGACCAATTTCGAGATATTGAACCTGATCGCATCCGCAATAGCATAGTATCAATTATTGCAGGATTTTTATTTGCATTAGGCTGGTGGATAGCAATTGACGCAGCTGTACTTTTCGCTGAAAACAATTCTTTACCTAATGCATATCATACAGCTGGAGTATTCAGCACCATTGCTTTCATATTAATTAACAGTGTTCCTAACGGAGTGGTAAGTTCTAACTATTGGAAATTAATGGTTTGCTAAAGTAGTTTTCATTTCTTAAATGATTGTTTGAAATATGTGTAAACCATAACTAATTCACCAAATACAGGTTTTTCTAGCCGGATTGATATTTACTCGAAATAAACCTCGATTCCATACCTAACGTTTCCCTCATCATCATTTAGTTCAGTGAAACTGCTTACCCGAGACCTAATCTTAGCCATCTAAGACATGTAAGTACAGGTAGAAATATGTTTCCCCTCAGGTATATTCGTGAAGTTATTTAGCTGTTGAGAGCCTGAAAGAAACTGAAGCAAATTTCTGAAAACTTTGCCGATACATTTGGACTTTTGACTTCAGTCAACCATAACAAACTCATTTTCATTTGAATCCACCGAAGCAAATTGGAATATGTTTTGCGACACTTAAGAGGGATTTTACAACACTTGAAACAGGTTTGAAAAGTTCTTTTTGGGGATTTATTTCGAATAAAGATCAGTTATATCATTCCTGTTACTCTACGTATCACCGTGAATATTTAAACTAATCTCTTTAGCAAATGTTAGAGTCGACATTGGAGATAAGGGTGACTGTTGATATACTCTTTTGTTGAAGCAAAGGATAATTGCCAACTATACGGATGCTACAAAACTGAGGCCAGACACGTCTCATTCTGCAAATAAGTGACCTGGCGCTGCCTCTCAGCAATAATCGACCATGCAGAGTTCGGTTGATGACATGTGCTACTAAAATAACAACCGGTGTTCGCAAAGCTCTAAAATATCATCAGGTACTGAGGTGATATAAATAGATTATGTATGTTAATGGTAATCGATGGATAAAATGTCAGGGGTCGTTCATCATGTCAGTACGGTGGTTGTAGCAAGAGTTAATAGTACCATACCCAGCGGCTATTGACTAACAAGTCTCAAGGTTTGGAGCGCCTAAGAAGTCATATTGACCTGGGGGTATTGTTGAGTATGTTCTGTTCGCTTATCCATTTAACTAGATTTGTGCAAATTTACTGCATTTTTACGACCTCTTTCCAATATTTCATTCCTGTCCCATTTATAACCAATATACTTTTCGTTCATCCTTAGTCACTGACACTATTCCAGTGCCTTACTCTTCATTATATTCAGGTCGTTCCGTGATTGATTTCCTTTTTATGAAAGACTTAGACATGATTATTTTAATCCCTTGTGTCCTAAACGTACGGATTTCGTGCTCTAGTTGTTTAGTTTGCTTTGCCATTTCATATGGCTATTCACCAGTCATTGTTGTGATCATTTTGTGTTTGGTAGATTTCCTAGAGTAGGAAACACTGGTTAAAGTACTACATTTGTGACAGTTGAGACGTCGCTGTTTTGGTCTGGATATTGCCGAATTTATTTAATGCCAACAATATTAATAACTTGAAGTTGTGTATATAAACGTACAATCTACCTTAAGTGAGACGCTATAAATCGACTTATCAAACAATACCGAACAAGTTATATGGAAATACATCAAATATGTATGACTGCATTGTTTAAGATTTCAAGCTTGTCAGAACTTAACGCCGAGATTTTAGCTAAACGCTTTATTGGGCTGTGTATGATACTACCACTGCGCGATTTGAACCAACGACTCAACCACCCAATACGCAACAACATAGATTCGCATTACTTCCGGTAAGGGGAACTTGTACTCGGAAGTTATTTCCCGTTGTATATGATATTGATCACCTGTAGTTATTGAAAGAAATACTCAGAGTGTCGTGCAGAATCATTAGCCATAAATGCAAGTCTCAGGGACGGATATATCTAGTTTCTCCGCGATGTTGAAAAGCTATTCCTCTAAATGATTTTAGTCGAAAGTAGAATTCCTCAACATATCATATGGACACTAATTCTCATGTTGTAGATTTGCAGATTACGTGGACGCTTTTTGTGTTGTTGAGCTATCTGAGCTAGGTTACTTAATTGCAGAATTTTCATTACCGTTTTGGCTAACATCATCGGCTTTTACCTCAGGTAGTTCCAATTTGTGTTTAATTGTTAATATATGAAAAAGAACAAAGTAAACTTTACAAAAACGTAATTGGCTATTAACTTTCCTCTTACCTTTTTAATTAGTTGAGAGATGAATTTTCAGACAGTCGTATCGGTCGTCGTGGAGCACTTATATGCCTATTTTTCGCTTTCTCAATGGCATTTAGTAGTACAATAGCTGCATGTTGGATACTATTTGGAGGTTATATCGCTGTAGATAAAACACCAGTATGGCCAGGTGTAGCTATACTATTACAAAATCTACTAATTTGTATATCATCAATTTTATTCAAATTTGGCAGAAAAGATCTTAGTGATTTCTAATCTGCTCATTTTAAAAATATTATTGTCACTTGATTGCTCACTCATTTATCGATTCATTTAATAACATTATCGTCATAGTACCAAATGAACAATGAATTCAATGAAAAAGCATTTCCTCATTTCATTTACTTCTTGAAAAAAATATTTTTATTTTCCAATGAAAAAAAATTACTTCAAATAAAATGTAAACGTTTTTGTTTTTTGTTGTAACTGTGTGTGTACGTGTGTGCAATTATGTGTTTGACATAATTAAACTTTAATACCACATTTGAGAACATATCTATTGTATTCAATTAAACAATACATTCAATACATACAACATTCAATAATAGTCCTTTTCATTTTCGGTGGAAAACATAAAAATGCCTCTAAAATAAAAATAAAAAGTTTTAAATAGAAGTTAAGTAATGTATGTGTCTGTGTGCACATGTTCTGCTGTTATTTTATGAATGATTATTCCACTTACCTTGAATGGGATATTTTTTTCGGCCAAAAAATTGTTGTTCATTTTCTTCTGCAATACACTGAGGATGAATAATTCAATAGAAATATAGGTAGATAACATTCAGTTAAGATGTTACATAAAGAAAAAAAATTCAGGTGTTTAGCGGCATTATATTTTCTTGCATTGTGTAGAATTTAGTATATCTCAGAAAAAGAGCTAAACGATAGTCTTACAATACTTTGTTGTGAAGAGGAAAATAATACTTCTCTTCTATAATGCTAGTCGACGATTACCAGTCGCACAGGATACATAGTAATATACTGAAGAGATTGATTTGTAGATTGTCTCTGACAACATGGATATTTAGAGTAAACACTTGCAGTAATTCTATGTTGACCATATCACACAGATATCGCTGTTAGATTAAATATGGTTTAGAGCTGAGCACATAAAAACACTTGATGGATAAGTAGTCTCATGTAATAATGCCTTATAGATACAGAAATAACTTCGCAATATATTTTGAACGCATCTATCAAAAGTATAGGAGAATCCCGAGTGAAACTGTTTTACTGTTTTAACAATTTTATCAGCTTTTAAGATCGACAACGGAAATTCTAGTAGTTTTGAAGCAGTTCACAAATAGTGTCTGTCAACTTGAAATTCGTATGAAACGTGTTCAGATTGAAGTACGTTAAGCGCGATCTTCGAAATCATGGCCTATCGTTCGAAAATGATATGTTTCTTTTTAACAAATAAGAGCTATTAACATGTTAGAAGTATTTCTTAATTTGTTAGCTTTAGGTGAATAAATAGAAAAATCTTGATTTGTACCTACTTTGCCAGTTATCCAATCATCCCATATAGATGACAATCCTTGTTTCTGCTTCCTTAATAAGTCATTAGTTGAGCATATCAGCGTACGACCCTCTCCAAACATGTTTGTATACCAAAATTCCGTAAGCGAGTTCATAACTTCGTCTACCAAAAGAGAATAGCGAATTTATCTAGGTTTTAAATGTCATCAAGTATATAAAATCTGGCCATTAAGCCTACAATATGAAAGTTAATCCAAATATTTTATTAGGAAGAAACATACTCCGCGGCAATATCGTCTTTCTTTAGAGAAGAGGTTGCATAGAATGAAGTTGTTTAGAAAAAGCTAGGAAAATTATCTACGGTAACAGATAAAAAATGATTATATAAAAGTGCACCTTGTGACTGGGTATCACAGTGGACAACTATGACGACGATACAAATAATGTTTCAATGAATAGGAAATTAAATTTCTGACGTTTCGCTACCTAGTTGAAAGTAGTTTTTTCTTTAGAAAACAGCTGTTTTTTAGTTTAAAAAAAGTGAAAATAGTACAAGAAACAAACATTAGATCGAATATTTAATGTATATAAATACGTCTGATCGCGCTAATGTCATTTTATACAGGTAGTCATGCAACGTGGAACATGATAATGCATTGGTTCAACTTGTCATACCACATTAGCACAGCGAGTTAAAATCTCCAAGTAGTACAAACATTATCAGTAGTGAAAAAAGTATTTCGTGACTCAGGACTTAGAGTAACACGAACGTACTTAACGTTTACGATCGTCTCAAGAAGGCGATTCTTAGACATTTCCTCCCGTCTAGAGAGGGACGTTTAAAAACACTTTTAGCACGTCACCTCCTGGGCGACGCTAAACAGAGCCACCACCTCACGCGCCTGCAATCTCTCGCAGGACCTACGACAGAAGGTTCTGAAATACTTAAAGAATCGTGACTCGAATCCCTGCCAGAAAATATACAACCAACCGGTACGGCTTTGCTCGAGGACACCCTACCTAACCAGGGGGCCCTCACAACAGATAAGATACTGGCAAGGACCAGTATTCGAGACAACTATATAGTTGCCTCAACATCCTGTTCGAACGTAGACCTCTACGCTAGTCGCCTTTCGGCTCAAGGTGATAGGGGTGGTTGTATTCATACACGTCTAAATTTCCGATATACCCGAACCCTATGTCCCTCAAGCCAGGTCACGCTCTCGTAAAACCGTAACCACTCGCCCAGCGCGGGCATCTCCCAAGCCACGCCGAAAGGCTGCTTCGGAAGCGAGTGCGGGTTGGTGCTGGTTCCACCGTACCTTCTGGTCCGGTGCCTGGCGTTGTCGAGCCTCTTGCTCATGCAAGGCGGGAAACTCCCGAACCGGAGAGTAAATGCAGCCGTACTCGCCAGCCCCTCACCCCAGGCTGGCCGTTTATTTTATGTGCACGATTATCGCACTAACGCTAGGCACCTAGTCGGTACAAGTGTCCAAGTTTCTGTTGTACCTATTGGTAACAGTAAGTCACAAGCTACGATGCTTCGACTACGCGCTGCTAATGGTACACGATAGCTCACGGTCAACCTGGGCAACCGATGACTATCCGTGGACGTTCATCACTGCCGATGTTCTCACAGCCATAGTCGGTATTGATTTCCTACAGCACTATGAATTACTAGACGGTTCACGTAGGCTGCAGCTAATCGATACTTCGTCGAACAGTAAATTCATGGGCTTTAGAACTTAAACGCGTACCTAATCTTAGGCGTATTTCATTCGCGTAGCGATATATTCCACGCTTTATTTCAGAAATCCCCCAACTAACTAAACCTCTTGAGGAGATCCCATCAGTATGGTACACCACATAGTCACCCGGGGACCCGCAGTCACAGCAAGACCACACCGACTGGCACCTGCCAACTTAGCTTTCGCTAAACGTGAGCTTGACAGTTTACTAGCTACTGGTATTATTCATCCTCCTCACAGTCCCTGGGCCTCACCTTTCCACATGGTGCGCAAAAAGGATGGGGTTAGTTGAAGAGCATGCGGCGACTACCGAGCATTAAGCGTAGTTACACGCTTTGATAGCTACCCCAACACGGCATCATTCAAGGGCACGACTATCTTTTCTAAGACCGATCTGGTACGAGCATATCATCAGGTCCAAGTCGCTCTTGAAGATATCGACTCCTTTCAGTCTGTTTGAGTCCCTACGAATGCCATTTGGATTACGGAAGGCTTTTCAAAGGTTTATCGATAGCGTAGTACGAGACTTAGATTTTGTTCACGTCTATATTGATGACATACCTGTTAATTGCATCATCAAACGTAGATGAACATTATCAACACCTAACATTCCTATTCCAGCGCCTTTTGGACAGTGGAATGACAGTCAACCCGGACAAGTGTGAACTAGGCAAACCAGAAATAAAATTCTTAGGTCACATTATTAAGCAAGAGGGTATTTTACCTTGTGAGGACAAAGTACGTGCAATAATGGAGTACACCGTGCCATCCACACTCAAAGAACTGAAGGCATTTATCGGTTTGGTTAACTTCTACCGACGTTTCATCACACACGCGGCAGAATGGTTACGACCATTAACCGACTTACTTCGCGGTAATCCACGCAAATTGGAGTTGAACGATAGCGCGCTTACTGCATTGTCAGAGACCAAAACGGCTCTGGCTCAAGTCACACTCCTTGGCGAAAGCTGGCCTGGTCACCCACGCTCTTGTCAACGCACTCAGTCGATGTTCTGGCTACGAATATGTCTGGTATACGTATGGTCTCGAATTTGGTTTCTTGGCTCAATGTGGTTCCATCCTACGTCTGCATTACTTTCTGGTCCGGACCCCTACGAACGCAATCCTCGGATTCTGGATACAAACCACTCTGATGTAGTACGCTAATTCGAGCAATAAATACATCACGTTCCTCATGGTACTGTTCTACGTAAAAGACCTTCGGTGGCAACTCGAGGATCAACGACTGCTTCCTGTTCTGCCAACCCTTTCGTCCTACAACCACACGTTTGCTGATCAGTCTCACGAACGAAACCGCTACGTATCGAAAGTGTAAACCCTTTCTAGAGGGGGGCTCCTGTAATGACCTACTTTTATGAAGAGAACACGATTGGTATAATGGAAACAATTATTATTATAACCAATTGTACCAGTGATTGTTTTACTGTACTTGTTTGTTTAAGTGTAGTAAACACACACACTCTTCCGTTAACTGTGACCTTGCGCGAACTCGGTTACGCTCAGTACTTCCACTTGTATTCTTTAGCACGATCTCAGTATTCTTTCGATACCACGAGATTGCTAACAAATATATCTTATTACGACCGTTAGCTGCCTTCTGGTTTTTGACATACGAAGGGATCCAACCTAATAACTGGCACGTAGTCTCAGTGCAGTGGTGATCATAGTCAACCGCGACTCGACGCCACGCTACAACGCTACAGTTCGAAAATAAGAGATGAAATAATCACAGAATAAAAAGAATGAAGTCATACTAGAACGCAGAATTTAAGGGAAGGGTAAAATGGATGCAGTTGTATCACTCTCACCGATTTTGAGCTATGGACTGCTCGAGGCCTCCGATCATTGATCGGAATTATCAAATAAACTTCAACCGGGTAGTCTACACATTAGACTTACAATTATACCTAACACATGTACCAGTCACCCCGGTCGATAAGAACGCATAACCGATATAACACATTTGCCTAGTATCCTATGCGTAACTTGATTATTGCTTATTCAATTATTTCACTAATTAAAAATGTAAAGTCTAATAAATAAAATCTTACTGGCAAGTGATTGACCCAATTCTATTGACTGAGTTAGTTCATGTAATAGACCAACTTCTTCGTATTTACTACCCGGTTTTGAGCTCCATTTCTTTGCTTCTTGTTTTCGTTTAGCTTTTATTGAACGTCTTTATCGGAACAAAAACAGAATGAGCGTATACAACTAACCACAATGAAAAGAAATTTGTAAAATTTTCCTCGGTATGTATGCATATTATATGCACTATACAATGGGTGTAGTGTTTACTTATATCATATAGAGCGGCCTGCTTGAGCATCTGGGCTACCTGTTCCTGCCATCTAAATATTTCAACAAGTTATCTACTTTTGTTTGTTTTAATATATCATTATGTTTATTAATCGCATAAACAAGTCTGCTGCGTTTCTGAAAAGTGTACAACCTTTCGTTGT